CTTTCTTTCGCGCCATCCATGGTGGAACTGCGCAGCTGCATCGCATCTGTGGTGGGGAGGGTGGAGAGTGGCTGCACACCCGGCCTTTTTTGTTTGGCATGTGTTACGTCAACGTTTACCCTGGCAACTGGCCTGAGTAAATCACATCATCACTGAATCTAATGAGTAAACGTAGGCATAAGCAAAATTGACAAACCACAATCACATCTGCAGCATGCTGGCGCTCTAACATCACAGTACTGTGGGACCACAGCGTCTGGGGCTCTAGCAGCGTCACAGCTCCGAACAGCCGCACAGAGCAGCTTACTCCATATGCGCAGCCTCCAGTCACTTGTCTTCACCATGCGTGGAGAATGTCAAGAAATCGCCTCGGCTGAGTCGAGGAGTTCTGGGTGTCGAGCTAGCACCAGGAGCGCGTCGCTGCTCGTAGCCCACGCCACCAAATGCCATCACCTAGAGACCATGTCGGGCTCTGCATGCACATCGGTGCTCAGCTATCTCAGCTCAAGGCTCTCTGATTGCCAGTGTCAGCCACCTGGCGCAATGCGGTGAAGAGCCCTCTGAAGACATCACGAAGCGGCCCACAGAAATCCAAATCTTTTCGCATTTTGTGGCGGAGGGATGCTTGGATTGACATACAGTAGGATTGAGGAATTCAGCCCTCAAGGTTGCACCTAGCAGAAGCAGTTGGTGCTTGTGCTAATATGCCGGCTTCGCAACAAGCGCCTGGGTTGCAACATCCTTAGTGCCGTGTGAGCAGCTTTCTCAGATCCCCCTAAAAACAATGATGAGGGGCCGCCTGGTTTACAGGCCGAGCGCACCCTGGTCGATCCCATGCATGCACAGACACGGACACGGACGCGGACGCGGACAGACACCGACACCGACACACACCCATTCCCATATTCCCATATTCCCATATTCCCATATTCCCATATTCCCAGATTCCCAGATTCCCAAATTCCCAGATTTGCAGATTTGCAGATTCCCAGATTGCCAGATTAATGCCAGATTCCCAGATTGCCAGATTCCCAGATTCTCAGATTCCCAGATTCCCACATTCCCCCATTCCCCCATTCCCACATTCCCAAAGTCCCACATTCCCACATTCCCAAAGTCCCACATTCCCATTCTGCCATTCTTTCCCTCCCATTCTCCCATTCCCCCATTCGCCCATTCCCATTCCCACCAGTGCAAGGGCGCAAGCACACGAGCGGGCAAGCACGCAAGCACACACGCACCCACACACCCAGACACCCACACACCCTTACACCCTTACACCCACACACCCAACAACACTCTGACTCTGACAAAGCCACACAGAGACACAGAGTCACCCCGAGAGACACAGAGATACACAGAGGGAAAAAGAGACACACGGAGACACAGAGACACTCAGAGACACACACGCACGCACACACGCACACACGCGCACACGCGTCACACACGCACACGCACACGCACACGCGCACACACAAACACAAACACAAACACAAACACCAAACACCAAACACCAAACACCAAACACCAAACACCAAACACCAAACACCAAACACCAAACACACACACACACACACACACACACACACACACACACGGACAAACCTCCATTCCGGGCAAGGGGCAATGACAAGACCTCGTGGTGCATCTAGTTGGTGAAGACCTTGCCCACCAAGCGGAACGCCCTGAGTTCAGCATGTTTCTGAGGGGACTCGGAGGACATGTGAAAACAAAAGTCGACAACAGCAGGCAGGAATCAAGAAACCAAGTCAAGCTCAGAAAAAGAGCAGCTGAGGCGGAAAGAACGCCAGAACACCGGCAAACATCTCAGAAAGAAGCGCCGAGCAGACAAGTGAGAACTGAAGGGCCTATATACATCGGCTAAGTCTAAGTCGGTCTCGTCCGAAATCCCTGTGAAACTGCTGCAAGACATGTCTTATTCAACATCCTGTCGGATGCGAGTGAGATTCGTTGACCATGCTTGTGCAAGGAAGCCATCATAAGGCCAATGCAACTCCGGGAGATGTGACGACTAAAGCTGCAACCAATGGTAAGATACTATTGCAATGGTTCTAGCTGCTGAGGGACCCCCCCCCAAACTCAGGAACAAAGAGAAGCTTAGAAACACTCTAAGTAACGTGATCAACAACCTCTGAAGCCTCCGAACGGTGCCATGCCAGAAGGAGAGCATCATCAACAGCATGAAGCAGCTGCTTTTTACAAAAACTGACTCTCCTTTCGTGGGAAGGGAGGCTAACCCCAAAACAAACGGAGAGTGGCAAGCGAAAGCCTTGCCTTGACCCCTCAAAGTAACGATCACGAGCCCTTTACCCTACTAGTACCCCCCGACATTCTTTTTCGGACGCTTCTCAGTTTTTCTGAGTCTTTGCCGGCTTTCGGAATGCCGCTTCGCTGCTTCCGAATCCTGGCGCCTCTGGCTTCTTCGGCTTGTTGTGACTTAGGCTCGCGCGCTTCCGTCAAGGGAGGAGCAGCAGCACCTCGGCACAAGGTGTCAAGAGGTGCACTACGACTAGGAACGAAGCTGCCGGTCGTGGAGGAGACTCTCGGAACCAGCATCACAAATCGCTTCGATAATCTTCCGCGACTGCAAGGATATGCCAAAATATGCCAAAGCTCATGCGACCACCTGTTTCTCGCCATCGAACTCGAGTCTGGGATCTAGAAGGCAGTTACCACCAAGGCAACTACCACCCTGCACCGGTGCGCTTACTTTCTTGGAAAGGCTGCGCCATCACTACACCAACTGCTGAGGTCGATAAGGGGGAAAAAAAAGACCCGATGAACTTGGACTGCGAGCAGCGAAAGCCTTGCTCAACGCTCGTGGCGCAGAAGGTATGGACTGCACATCAACAGTCAACACAAATGTTCCGTGACGTTTGGTACTTGTTAAAGTCCGGTAGTCGCATTCGATCGAACCCATGAGGCTATGTAATCACATGTCAGGTGCGAAATAAAACGGCTGAGTCTCGCATACTTGGTGAGACATGCCAGGAGAGAATCCGACACGAGGAGGTGCTCGCGCAAAAAACGACTCATTGACTGAATTCATATCGTAGTAGACAACGGAGGTCTGGTTCGGATGGTCCCTGTGCATATAGAGCTCGGTGCTGAGAACTCGGAAGCTTCGCAGGTGCCTGAAACCGGGCTATGCCTCTCGTCAAGGCCCAGTGCTACACGTCTCTGCTGCTCATTTACGGGGATGCCGGTTCACAAGGCTTTGATGCCCGATGACATGTCACAACACACCAGATACAGAAGTTCACTTGCAGTGCTGTTGTCAAGGTGGCTGGGTTAAGTTTGGAAAGCACCTGCTGAAACTTGATGGGTGTGTCCCCGACTGTGTTTGGTGCACTGCCGGACATAGGCGGGCTTGGAGCAGCCTTGCTTTGTGGAATTTGGGGGGGGGGGGGGGGGGGGGGGGGGGGGGGTGCCGTACCTGCAATTGCAATGGGCATATGCACCTACGCAAGTCACTCGCGCCGTGCTTTTCTGTAGACTTGGGTATTTCATGTACTGCTCCTTCGATCTCACGCGCGTTTGAAGCCCCATATACCTGCACATCTTCAGGCATAGATCCGAGACCTTGTGCATGCAGCCTACAGATGCGACGAGAACGTGGACTCAAACAAGTGTCAACCCAAGCAAGGCGCCAGACCGCCGACTAAGAATCTGAAAATGTCTCAAACCGTCGCCCTTTTAAAAGGCATGAACTGGAAGCTGCGAGCTTGCCTGCAAGATGCGCGTGCAGGCAGGATCTAGACGGAGGAAATCCAAAAATACCGTACCATACCGTGCATGCTACGCAAGTAGACGGCCAAGCCGAGCTGCACTGGGTCACGCAGCAAAGATGTACTCCCGAACCCGCCTGCACCCAGCAAACTCTGGTCCGACCACGAAATGGACTGCACACTTGCGGCATCGCGTCGACCTGCTGCTCAGAAGTTCTCAGTTTCTGCGTCCTGCCGGAAGAGATGTTGCAAACACGGCGGCAAACTGCGTCTTGTGACGAATGCCTGCCTATTTCCGTTCTGGTTTTGGGTCTGCACTCTTCTGCGCAGAGAAGCTATGTCACAGATGCAACCATTGAGGTAATATTGAGGTCATTATCCCAGGCTGTCCTCAGCCTCCTTCTGCTCTCGAGCTTCAGACTGCTTCTGTTCAAGTTCTCTTGCGTAGATGGACCTGAGCATGAGAAGTGGAATGCAGCAGTGCCTAAGTAAAAGCTGCCACAAGCATGCGTTGGGTGTGTAAGCAATCAAGACAGAGATGGTGATTTACCTGGATAAACAGCCGATGTTCCTTGTGAAAATCACACCGCTGCAAGGCATCTTTAAGGTGATGGCGTCTGTTTGCGCCTATGTCTTTGCTGGTCAAAGCATCCATGCCCGCACGATGATAACGTCCATGTTACCAATGTGTGCGAATGGCCAGAGCGTCCATGTCCGCACGATGGCTATGTCCGTGTTGCCAATGCGTGCGAATGGCCAGAGCATGCATGTCCGCACGATGCAGCGCCCTCGCTACCAATGCGTGCCAATGGCCAGAGCATCCATGTGCGCGATGATTGTCCGTGCTACCAGTTTAACATAGTTTAACCCTAAAGCATAGTCCTTCACACTCAAATTCTTTGGACTCAAATCCTTGGGGTGGATGCCGGCCACTTACATTTAGTTCTGAACCTAAACGCTGCGATTTTAAGGCTACGCCGGTGCAAGTCACGCCTTGAGGCCTCAGGATTGCAGAGTTTGATAAAGGCATGCCCTGTAGACTTGCAGACTTGTAGGCTTCTGGCCTTCATGGTTTTCGGCTGAGTTAGGATTACGTCTTTGGTCCTTCCCTGCCATATTCTCCCCTCCTGGGTGTTCCACATGGACCTGAAAATCTGCATTCTGTAAAGCCTGTAAAGCCTCCAAACACAGAGGTGTCTACAGGGACGCTGCCATCTTTAACTTCATCAATCGCAAAGATCGTCCGTTCTCCTATTGCGCAGCTGCCTGGCACATCGTGTTGGGCAGTTTGCAGGCGACCAGAGCACCGGTGTCTTGAAAAATCAGAGCAACGGCTGCCCTGGAGAGATGTTTTAAGAGAGCATTAAGAGAACCACACGCCGCGCCGAGCGTCTTGTATGCAGTCGGGAACAGCGTCTTGATGAACTCGGAATCATCAATCGCCTCATGTGCTTAGCTCGGGTGACGCTCTCTATGGTGGCTGTTGCCAGGTTCGGGTTTACCCTCGGGGTTAGAGGGCCAGGGTCGGCTGGCGGGGCGGGGAGGGATGGTTCAAGCTCCTGGGAAACAGACAAAGGCGAACGTCGCAACGGCACCATGCGCAGATGGTGCACCTACAGGCACCTTGGTGAAGGAAGCCACATTCGCCAGATGACTTGTCCGCATACGAGGGTCCGCTGAAGTTCTCTTCAACTGAACCCTTGCCCTTGCTCAGAGCGCTTGCAGCTAGGCGACTCCACTTCCATCATTGTCAAAAGCTTGGAAAACATCATGGGCACGCTCGTCTTTTGCTTCAACCTCTAACCTCAGTAGCGTGGCCACAAGCTGGACCGGGAAGCATGCGTGAGCATGCGAAAGCTACTTCGGGAACACAATATATATAGCCAAGCCACTGCTGAAGCATGCGACCTGAGGCCAGCCATAGTGCATTCAATCAATCAGGTCGGAGCTTACATGTGTTCAAGGCACTGCATTCTTTCGCACCTCTCCAACTCGAAGCAAGATAGGTAGCTCTACAGAAAGCAGGATCTCCCGATCTGACGGGTAGCGGAACTCGTCCATCGATAGCTCGCCGTCACCATTCTCATCGTAGTTGCCTTTGTGCAGTACAGTTGCCGACATCCCTTCTTGGCTTACTTGTTGTTTTTGGGGTTTGTAGAGGGTGAAGTGAAAGGCTATATCTCATCTTGCGTCACGTTTCGTCTGCCTCAGAGAACAGTCTCAGAGTTTCCTGCGCACCGGCCACAAGCAAACGCAACCCTGGCCAGTGGATGAGGAAAGGCTAAGGCTGCCAAAGCTGCAGAACAGGCCGGGTATATCCTGTGGATCATATCCGACCTCATGGCGTGTAGTGTTGGAACCCTTCTCTGCCCCCACCCGCGCCCTTGCGTCTGTCACGTTAGCACATTGCCATCATTGACCCGACGCTAAGCATGCCTAAACACGAGTTGCCTTCTCCTATCTTCTCGTCCCTAGGGCCCTAGGATGGTCGCCAAGAGGCAGTTGCAAATCGCGTCCTCGTGCAGAAAGCCGGGCCGAAACACGGCGAACTACGACCGCCGGTAGCTAGGGCAGGCCATTCCAGTGTCACGTGTTTAAGGGCCAAGTAAACGCCGAGGTCCTAGAGGCTTGTGTATCGAAATGCCTCGAAAAGACCAACGGCTCGCTAAGCACTCCTGAGGCACTCCTGCCTAATGTCAAACCCCCCAAGTGCAGCAGTCCTCAGTCGCTGCATGAGCAGGAGTCGGTGCCGGTCGTCCCAAACAGAACCGAAGGCCTGTCAGCGACTTCCAGCTTCGAACATGCTGGCCGGATTCTGTCAAACCGCACTTCGGCCGAGCATGGAGTCCTACGCAATATTGCCAATTAGAAGCTACTGTGCAACTTCCTTTCGTGTTGCGTGAAGGACCGCCTTCCCGACAATGCCGATGGGCATCGCCATGTAGATGGCCGACCTGTAGTGTGCCGAACTTAGCAGCCCAAGCTGCGTACCAAAGTCTGTATTTTGTTTATCACCGGTCGCCCTGGCCAATTCACCACGGGACCAAAAATGGCAGTCTTCCAGGCCAGCTTCCCCCACTTTTTTCGTGACAAGGGCTGGTACCAGAGTATATCAAGGAGTACATCATTGGCAGGTTGCTACGGCACCGCGCCCCACCCCAGCTATATCAACCTGTGAAGGACGAACAACAAAGACCTGTGCAGAACTGTAACGGCCCAAACCTCGAAGTGCAAAGGCCTCTTCCAACTCTTCCAACAGCCTACAAAACTTTTAAGCAACCCCATGTTCACTTCCAAGGAGGTTGTGTAACTCGAACAAAAACTCGCAGCAGGGGGATGCCAAGAAGTTCTGCGAAGCTTTGCTTTGATGTGTTTTTTGGTTTGGGGCTCTGCTTCTCATCATTCGCTCGTGCTTCAATCATTCGCTACTGCTTCAACCATACCAAATGTAAATCAAGCATCACCTTTCAATAGCAGAGTTTGTTTATACATGAAAACTTAGCCTAGTCAACCCAAGTCAAACGTTTACATTCTAATCTTGGGGGAGCTTCTAGCTCATTCGTAAGTAAATTTTCTCTATTCTATTCACGTTTGAATACAATATGAGACCGTTTGTAAGCTATAGGCCTTCAGTGAAGACAGACACCCCCCCCTCCCCCCCCAATCTACAAAACTCTAGTAACTAGCTCCCAGATTCGAATGTATGATTCAGCCCCGGCGGGCCCCCCCCCCCTCCCCCCCCACCCCCCCCCCCCCCCCCCTGTGGGTGGTGGGGGTTGGTTTTTAGGGTTTTATAGGGTTTAGGGTTTAGGGTTTTAGGGTTTTAGGGTTTTTTTAGGGTTTTAGGGTTTAGGGTTTTAGGGTTTAGGGTTTAGGGTTTAGGGTTTTAGGGTTTAGGGTTTAGGGTTTAGGGTTTAGGGTTTAGGGTTTTTTAGGGTTTAGGGTTTAGGGTTTAGGGTTTAGGGTTTAGGGTTTTCCCGCGGATGGGGTACTAAGATGATCCCCCCCCCCCTGTGGTGTGGTTGGGGGTTGGTTTTAGGGTTAGGGTTTAGGGTTCAGGGTTTAGGGTTTAGGTTTAAGACTTAAGGTTTACTTAAGGTTTAGGTTTAGGGTTAGGGTTTAGGGTTTAGGGTTTAGGGTTTAGGGTTTAGGTTTAGGGTTTAGGGTTTTTTGCCACCCGCCTAGCAGACCCCCTCTGGGAGTGATTAGGGTTTAGGGTTTAGGGTTTAGGGACCGTAGAGTAGACTTGGGGGGGGGGGGGATACCATGGGGGGGGGGGGGCCCAGGACGCTCGACGCTGAACCATATATTCGCATGGGTCGTGCCAGTAGCTGTCCGTCATTCTCTTCCACTGTTCTCGGCCATTAAGCAATACAAGTTAACCCTGATACTTGACCTCCGAGTAAGTGCACCAAATGAAAGCTCAGGATACTTAGGGCCGGGATTCCAACAGTCTCCCGGCCTTTTCATGCAATTCAGCTCCAATTCTGTATCAATCAGCCCAATGCAAACGTCTGCCATCTACACTTGCGGGAACTAGTTTGCAGGCAAGAAAGACAGAGCAATGGTTTTTTTTTGGGGTGTCGCTAAAACTCAGTTGATAGTCATGTTCATATTCTGTTTTCTTTGTTGCAAATAGGATTTTGCTGTTCGTTATTCGTTCTAATGAAACTTCTCTACTGGCTACTTTGGCAGCAGCTTTCTTTTATAAGTACTTTGCGCGATAGTGCATTGACTACGAAGGATAAAGATGCAATAATAACCTTGTTATTTCAAAAGACGAATAATAAACAAATTGCAAGATAATGCGAAAGATGTCATGAATGACCTTGAAGGAGAACGACAAGATTATAGAATTAAAACATAAGCAAGGGCATACTCCGATAAGTTCATAGTCGAGTGAGTATCTTGCAGTTACACAGCACTGCTATTCCAAATGCATAAGCAGAACTAGCCAATTATCAACCAGACGTGAGATACACTATGTTTTTGGGCGCAGCCGATGTCTCGATAGCTGTTGTTCATTCTCTTCCAATATTCCCGGCCATTCAAAGAACAAAACTTAAAAACACTACTTGAGCTGCACTTCTGCTAATCAAATTGTCCGTGGGGACATACATGATGACGACTCTTTACGAGACCCCACATGACCCCACAGAGTCCCTTTCTGTAGGAGCAAGATCCTCCGTCGAGCTCGCGCGAGCGGCAACCATGTGGTTTACCCAGCTTCGTGCTGTCCCTCCCGAATAGGTTAAGCCATGGTATGCTCAGGCTGCAATGAAGAAAGAGTATTGGAGCGCTCATCTCGAAGTGTGCAGATGCTTGCACCATTGCTTACTGCTTGCTAAGAGTGCCACATCGTGGAAGGTGTTGCGAGGTCTGAGATGGTCAAAGACAGCAACTGGTTGCTGCTGGGCGGCACCACGATGAGAACACAAACCACGATGTTTCCGGAAGTTGAAACCGGAACGACGTCCCCGTAGCCCACGGTGCTCAGAGTCCTTTGCTTGCTCAGGGACTGCCAGGCTGCGTGAATTAAGGCTTTTAAGGATTGGACAGGTCTGGTAAGTGCACCTTGGTGATTGCACCTATTGTTTCTCAATCATTGAACAGCCGCTGCTGGGTCTAAGATGGTGCGGGTGTGAGTGAGGTGGATGCAGCAAGGCGGCACCATCGTGAACCAAATTGCACGTGGCATGCTCTCAATGTTGCCACCTTGGCTTTTTCAGTGTGAGCCCCGGAAGCTAAAGATTTACACATCCATCACGGATTGAGGCTGTTCTCCTGCGTTCTTGATCTTGTGTTGACAACCTAGAGAAGCTGGCGCACGTTGTGATCCAGAGGTAGGGTGCCGTCATTGATGGACGATTACATATCCGAGAGGTGCAGCTGGAGCGTTGTTTCATGAATGCGCTACGCCGCTACACTCTGCCAGTGCCTTCACTTTCCCCGACATGATGGGCCTGCGTGAACGTCTCGTCGCATTTTGCCGAGGTGCTTTCTGATTCCAAGACATAGATGACGGAGGAAAAGAAGAACACCAGCAACATCTTGGACACATCAGCAGCCACATTCATGTTAAGCAGCCACTTGCCAATCACAGTCCAGAATGCTGTATCACACAGGCCAAACGGTGGCTATCTCAAACCAAGATTTCTGCCCATCGCGTGCCGAGGTGTGCTACATATGCTGGCGCAAACTCAGCAGACCACAAGAAGCCGTCCCGCAAACGTCTGAGAGTCTGACCATGCAGTAAAGCAATGAAGGCAATGCCTTGCGTCCAGGCAAATAGATTGGAGCATCTTCCCAGCGAGTGAATGCAGACACACAATCCAGCACAAACACGTTGCATCTCTCATGCACAGGCGGTCTATGCGATGTTTGGGTCTGGATTGTCGCGTGCTCGCACACTGCACAACCTGACCATTTCGCACCAAAATGCCGACTTTTCGCCGCATGCGTAAGCCATGGATGGATTCTAGACTCTCAGTCTCTCTCTCCCTGCAGTTTGGCTCATCAGCATGCCAGAGAAGGTCCCTAAAGCAAACATTTGGGTATCGTGTCGGTGTGGGTTCATGGTGCATTGCTTCTGATAACTTTCTGATCGGTTGTCCAAGGTGCCCCCAGGGCTTCGGAGAAGGCCTGTTGGATAAGGTGGCTGTTCCTGGGGTATGGCACCGACTGGCAAGCAAGTGTGAGTACTTGTTGGATTCGGGCTGACACTTCCTAGCCACCCTGTACGCAGAGCCGCAGAGCTGAATTACCCGGGCCGAGCATCTCAAAGCGCCGCAAGAGCTTTAGCAAGCGCACCACAGGTACCTCGCCAAGGGCACAGTATGATTACCAGAATGACAATCTGCCGACGAGTCTTGCTAAGGTGTGGAAAGGAAGCTGCGATAACCCCAAGCCAGCGTCTGGCTGGAGATATTCACCTGAGACTCGTGGGACCATCCCGAGCTGAGGCACCAAGACGATCAGGAGCAGCTCAAAGCCAGACACATCCAAGTTGTCCTCCGCCGCAAGTGAGAACCTGTGATGTTTGAAGTGCAAGATCGTTACTGAATTGTGGGGTGCAGACATATGCATATATGGCCGTTACATTGAAACCTGCCACAAGTTGCCATGCAACCTATGGGATAGTCTCAAGTCTATAAAGCTGCCGCCAGGGAGCGATTGAACACGCAGCTTCATTGCCATGGGCAAGACGAAAGAGAGAATGTCCAAGGCGTTGTAAAAGCTGGGACAAGAGCTGCCAAAAAAAGTGAGCAGGCAATTCTACATTCTAGCACAATGCAGACTCCTAGGACACAAAGGTCAAACAGGTTCGCTGTGCTTCTGGTTGGCAGCCTTCCACTGCTTGGAGTTTTTTTGCGCATGGAAGTGCACTTACAGCACTACCAGACAATTGCAGATCCCCCTGACAAATCGGTTTCAACGGGCACTTAGCACAACTTGCCTGGTGAAGAACCGTAGACGATTGGGACAACCGTAGAACCGAAGCATCACCTGTCAGGCATGTGTTGATACAGAATGCATTCAATGTATTCTGGTCCGGTCTAGATTTCATTTTCAGTTCTGCTTTAGCAAGGCCATTCTGGATTGCAGCTTGAACCTTGACAAAAACCAGCCGCGCAAGCATTCGTTGCACTCAGAAGAGCACAACAGGCGACTTCCAGCGCCGATGCCTCAAGCAAGAACAAGCAGTCCACGCAGAAAAGGCCAACATCAATCCCAAGCGTTGTCCTCAGATCATAACTTGCAGGGCTCTGAGGATGGCAAGTGCTTCAGGACTCAATGCAGGGCAGATGCCACAGTATGCCAGAGTCTGAGGACAGAAGGTGTGTGTCAGCGTTACTGGGCGGTGAAGCCCGGACAATGTTGAAAGGATGGTTTCGGCTGACTTGGCGAAATTGCGCGAACAAAGAAGTCACCATCTCGTCATTCTCGTGCAATCACCCAATGTGCCGGGCATCGTTTCAGTCCCACCAAGGAATTGCCTGGGAATGACAGGCAACCAGGCACCTCAGGTGTGTGCCCAAAGAGTCCAGCAACCGAGACCTCTCAAGGCATCCACCATTAAAGCAAGCAACTTAGTTTGTTGCGAAGGATTGTGGCGGCACTCTAAGAGTCTCACAAATATCCATCCAAAAAAGCTGTTAAAGTGGCACTTCTTGGCCGAGCCACTCGCGAGGATCAAACAGGAAAGCCTTGCTGGAGCAGAAGCTTGAAATGTTACACGCTGGTTTGCTGCCTCAGCCAAAACCCTTCGGGTTCCCCAGCCGCTTTCCCTCGATTTAATGACCTAAGTGATGATCCGAAACAAACAACTTGGCCGTGTCCCGCTTGTGACCTTCTCCTAGGAACCCCATATGCTTAGATATGCTCAGCAGGACGGGAGGTCCATCAATGATTCATGGCGCGACCTCCAATAGCAGGTAGCCAAGATCTGCCAGGCGGCACATTCTCATAAACTCGGGCTCCTTGCATAAGATCAGGATCCTCCAGGAACATCCTCGGATTCACCAGAGCTCAACATCCTTCAACGGCTCAACCTCCTTCAACGTGACCCAACTAACTTCTTGAACTGGTTGCGGCAAGGGTCAATGTCTTTATCTTCATATATTATGTCCATATGTATATGCATAAAAACACACAGAGTTTGTTTGTTGCATTTCTCAGGGCTGAACGTCCCACGCCAGACAGTATCGAGTGCGGCAGGTGATTTCCCCGAAAAGTCAGCACAACTTGACTTGAATTTGCAGCCATGGTACCAGACCTCTTTTTGAAGCTGTGTCCGCTTTCTCTGCCGAACCTCGAGGGGTTTTGTGTGGCGCAGAGAAGCACAGGGCATTGTCAAGTGTCAGGTCTCAGGAGTTGCACTCTATCCGCACAATCAATGGTGGCCATGCCTGTGGCACTTATGACATCCTAAAAGACACTTGCCGGAAATTCCATGAAATGGCGCCGCAGCTGCCAGCTGCCAAGCAACACAACACGCAAACAGCGTGCTCTAAACCTTCTGAGCGGTTCTAGACCTAGAACCCCGAGGTGCCAACCATGCCTGAAGAAACCACATGGGCCATGAACAATGCAAGGAAGCGGCGGAGGGGGCCACTTTTTGCCCTTCAGCTTGGGCGGTTGAGATACTGCAGGGCAAAAGGCAAGACTCTTCAAATGTGAAGCTGCGCGCTCACACAGACTTGCTCAGTGCTGGTGACGCCCCACTCTAAAGATGTTTCGGGCAAGCGCCGTGCTATACGACAGCTGCCAAGCTATGGACACATGTCGAACCTGACTCGTCGGCTTGGCTGCTTCATGAAGAAGAAGCCCGCGCCTACCGCAGGAGCAATACCAGTAGCACAATGCATCCGATGAAATGCGATTCATTGCCCTGGACATGCTCATGACCTCGCCATGTCTCACATTTGGGGAGTGGCAACCACTGATTTTGGCATAGAACAATAGCATGCTGAGGCTATGGATGGTCACATAGTCCTCTGCTGCTATAGTTTGCTTGGGGCTAGATTTGAACATGCTTAGCCGCCCACACCAGCTGACAGCTTGTCGCCAAGTGGCTCGAAGACGCGGTGCCCTTCTTGGCGGGGTTGCGCTCGAGCCTCTCTGGAATTCCTGCCTTGGACACATCCCGCTCCAATCGCTTCTGACTTTTCCCATGCCCAAACAAATCCCGAACCTGTTTTAGGCACTGCAAGCACAATGCCAGAGGCAACCCATCGCTTCTATACCCTTTCGTCTGCGGCTTCGAGGCGGCAGATGCAGCAGACGTGCGGGAGTCAACTCGCGCGTGCTTCTCCTGCTCATCAGCCTGCGCTGGAAAGTAAACTGAACGTATTTCATCATCTTCCGCAGTGGTTTCGGATGGCAGGGCTCAGGCCTTATCGGCTTACCTGCGAATCGTACCTGTAGAGCCTGGTCGTATCTTGTAGTGACATGTGCACCGCCCAGCATGATCTGGCCTCACCGGAACTGTTCCTCAGATTGAACTCTGGTCAACTGCATTCCTCGACAAGTCTCAAAACAATCATCCCAACAAGCTTGGCGGAGTTTCGACTTCTTTGGCCGCTGCCGTCCATTGGCATAAGACTGTTCGATTCCAGCCACATGGGCTGGGCACAGACTTTCAACGCCGTGATTTCAGTGTTTGAGATTCGTCTCCGCGACACCATCTGAAACTGCAACAGCGCAACCAGCTCCTGGCGCATGTCTACAAATTTCGGTGGAAGTGAGCACAGCAAGTGCTGTGCGCCACCCTGACTTGGCTGCCTTTAGTTTTGTGCGACGTTGGCCTTGGACTGCAAGTGCCTTCGATTCGAGTGCGCGTTGATCGTGTCAGGGACCCGCTGAGTCGAGTGGAACCGTGACTTGTCTGCAGCAGCAGGATTCGATAAGGTAAGCCTGCAAGCCTGTAAGCGCCCAGAACCCGAACTGTGAAGTGAGCGGATACACCAACGCGCGTGCCAGCATAGGCTTTAAGACAACCGGACCCATTTGCAGCACAGCTGCTCTTCGTTGGTGCCGATGCCGAGACGCCGCAGAACAAGCTGGCGTGAGCCCTCTTCGGGGCCTGCGTGGTCCTTGCGGGCACAGATGTGGATTCTGCGTAAAAAAAACTCAGCAACCGTGGTCCTGCAGCACAACAGACTTCTGCCGCTAGGCATGTATGCTGGGCGGGGAAATCAGATAGTCTTGAGACCAAGGCCTACCTCCGTCCGATCTCTTAATCCTGAACTAGAATCAATGTTAACCGACACTTGCCATCACATCGACAGTCGAATCTCAAAGCGCAATGACAACATTTCTCGGTGCAGAGCCTTTGCTAGCACCGCAAGGAGCACCTCTAACCATCCGAGAAATCCCATCTCTCGCGCATGTCCTCCTCTGTGAAAGACGGCCTCGGGGGGCAGAAGTTCTTGACAAAGAAGGATGCAAATTGAATCGTGTTTTGTTAAACATGAAATATGCTTGAAGCCCACTCTGTGAGAGCGACAAGCCCCAACAGATTCTCTCTCTCTCTCTCTCTCCACACGCT